CCCCTACTGCCTACCTGCTACAACCCCCCTCTCCCTTACTGCCTACCTGCTACAACCCCCACCTCCCCTACTGCCTACCTTCTACAACCCCCCCCCCCTCCCCTACTGCCTACCTGCTACAACCCCCCCCCTCCCCTACTGCCTACCTGCTACAACCCCCCCCCTCCCCCTACTGCCAACATGCTACAACCCCCCCCCCTCCCCTACTGCCTACCTGCTACAACCCCCCCTCCCCTACTGCCTACCTGCTACAAACCCCCCCCCCCCCCCTCCCCTACCTGCTACAACCCCCCCCCCTCCCCCTACTGCCTACCTGCTACAACCCCCCCCTCCCCCTACTGCCTACCTGCTACAACCCCCCCCTACTGCCTACCTGCTACAACCCCCCCCCCTCCCCTACTGCCTACCTGCTACAACCCCCCCCCCCTACTGCCTACCTGCTACAACCCCCCCCCCCTCCCCTACTGCCTACCTGCTACAACCCCCCCCCCCCTCCCCAACTGCCTACCTGCTACAACCAACTACTGCTTACCTGCTACAACCCCCCCCTCCCCTACTGCCTACCTGCTACAACCCCCCCCCCTCCCCTACTGCCTACCTGCTACAACCCCCCCTCACCTACTGCCTACCTACTACAACCCCCCCCCTCCCCTACTGCCTACCTGCAACAAACCCCCCCCCCTCCCCTACTGCCTACCTGCTACAACCCCCCCCCCTCCCCTACTGCCTACCTGCAACAACCCCCCCCTACTGCCTACCTGCTACAACCCCACCTCCCCAACTGCCTACCTGCTACAACCCCCCCCCTCCCCTACTGCCTACCTGCTACAACCCCCCCCTCCCCTACTGCCTACCTGCAACAACCCCCCCCTACTGCCTACCTGCTACAACCCCACCTCCCCAACTGCCTACCCGCTACAACCCCCCCCTCCCCTACTGCCTACCTGCTACAACCCTCCCCTCCCCTACTGCCTACCTGCTACAACCCCCCCCCCTCCCCTACTGCCTACCTGCTACAACCCCCCCTCCCCTACTGCCTACCTGCTACAACCCCCCCCTCCCCTACTGCCTACCTGCTACAACCCCCCCCCCTCCCCTACTGCCTACCTGCTACAACCCCCCCCTCCCCTACTGCCTACCTGCTACAACCCCCCCCTACTGCCTACCTGCTACAACCCCCCCATCCCCTACTGCCTACCTGCTACAACCCCCCCTCCCCTACTGCCTACCTGCTACAACCCCCCCTACTGCCTACCTGCTACAACCCCCTCCCCCCTACTGCCTACCTGATACAACCCCCTCCCCTACTGCCTACCTGCTACAAACCCCCCCTACTGCCTACCTGCTACAACCCCCCCCCCCCTACTGCCTACCTGCTAAAACCCCCTCCCCCTACTGCCTACATGCTACAACCCCCCCTACTGCCTACCTGCTACAACCCCCCCTACTGCCTACCTGCTACAACCCCCCCCCCCTACTGCCTACCTGCTACAACCCCCCCCCCTACTGCCTACCTGCTACAGCCCCCCCCCCCTACTGCCTACCTGCTACAACTACTGCCTACCTGCTACAACCCCCTCCCCTACTGCCTACCCTACAAACCCCCCCCCCTCCCCTACTGCCTACCTGCTACAACCCCCCCCCCCCCTCCCCTACTGCCTACCTGCTACAACCCCCCCTACTGCCTACCTGCTACCCCCCCCCTACTGCCTACCTGCTACAACCCCCCCCTACTGCCTACCTGCTACAACCCCCCCCCCCTACTGCCTACCTGCTACCCCCCCCCCCCCTACTGCCTACCTGCTACAACCCCCCCCCCTACTGCCTACCTGCTACAACCCCCCCCCCCCCCTACTGCCTACCTGCTACAACCCCCCCCCCCCCCCTACTGCCTACCTGCTACAACACTGCCTACCTGCTACAGCCCCCCCCCCCCCTACTGCCTACCTGCTACAACCCCCCCTACTGCCTACCTGCTACAACCCCCCCCCCTACTGCCTACCTGCTACAGCCCCCCCTATGCCTACCTGCTACAACCCCCCCCCCCTACTACCTACCTGCTACAACCCCCTCCCCCTTGCACACCTGACCACCAGCAGCCCACTATCCGCCCCATCCTCTCATAAGTTTGTTGAGAAAATTGTGATTTTGCTCAATTGGATTCAATAATGTTCATATATGTAGCATTTGTATACAAAATTAATTATAAGTGATTGTTCTATCAAATGCCATAGTGAAAATGAAGAATTCATAATATATTTTTTATGAATATTTATATCGAGACTGATACAGTTGGCTGATGGAAATCCTGCCTAATACTACATATTTGCACCACCAATAATAGTCACATAGTTATGATTTTGATATGGAATTGTTAACCAATGATTGTTCTATCATTTGCTATGTTTAAAATGATAAATGCATAAAAAAATAGGTTTTCTGCAATTTTTGTTTTGTTGATAACAGATGTTGGATCTCTCTTATTTTCACATGGAGGGGAGGGACAACCTGAGGCCGACAGGTAGAACGAATTCCGCGGTGGAAGGAATCTGCCTCACCCCATATAGTTGATTCAAGTGAGGACACTCTGTACTTAGGTAATTACATATACACTCACACACTTATTAAGTGTACAGTGGTACCTCGGTTTAAGAGTTTAATCCGTTCCTGGAGACAGCTCGTAATCCGAAAACTCGTAAACCGAAGCTAATTTCCCCATAAGAAATAATGGGAAATGAATTAATCCATTCCCGACTACCCAAAAACCTCACTTCAAACTAAATTTTATACCCAATTCATATAAATGTACACTACAAAACTATGTTCAAGTTATTACTTACCATTGCTGATGACTGCTCTTGGCATATGGAAGATGGTGAGGAGGGGAGAGAACGAGAGGTGTTACTGTTTGGAAGGGGAGTCCCCTTCCATTATAACATCAGGCAGTGAGAACCTCTCTGGAGTGCATTCTCTGGCACATTTTGGCTGCATACCACTAGGTCCTGGTTGTGGCTCACTGCTTGATTTGCTCACAACAAATCTGTCCATGGAAGATTGTTTTTCCCTTCTTTGCAAGATGTCTCTGTAGTGAGGCATCACATTGTCATTGAAAAGATTTATGCAATGCCCTACAACAGCTTTTTATGGGTGAGTCTTTTCAATAAAAGTTGGCATTTCTTCCCACATCTGACACCACTTCTTAATGGTTGCGGAAGGGACATTCTCTACTGCCTCATCCTCCTCCACTGGAGAAACTTCCTCAGCTGTGTCTTCTTGCTGTTCCTTTTGAAGGGCTTGGAGTTCTTCGGTGGTCAGTTCTTCATTGTCTTCTTCCACCAACTCCTCCACATCACCACCATCTAATTCCAAGCCTATTTGCCGGCCAGAGTAACAATTTCCTCAACAATAGGCACATCATTTACAGGCTCAAACCCCTCAAAGTCTAGTTCTGTCACACATTCAGGCCACAATTTTCACCAGCCAAAGATCAGGGTTCTTTGAGTCACTTCCTGCCAGGATTTGTCAAGTTTTAAAGCACTACAAATGTTAAAATGGTGTTTGGCAGCCTCCCCATGCCTCAACACTATGGATACCACTTCTTTTTCTAAATTTTTCAAATCATCCCCCTGCTTGCCTTAAAGTCTATCGTATCTGCACTCGTTCCAGGGGTTTTCTTTACAAGGTCTTCATGCAATACCATGGCTTTCTCACAAATGATGGCCTCTGAAACACTATCACCCGCTAACTCCTTGTTGTGTATCCAAATTAATAACAACTTTTCCACATCCTTAAGTATATGTGGTCTTTGTTTCGTGATTGTTCTTATGCCTTTTGCTACTTTAGCACTCATAATGTCCTTTTTCTTGCCGAGTATAGTGCATATCATTGACGTGGCTTTGTTGTACTGCCTACAAAGTTCCACAACACGTGCACTATTTTCATGCTTCCGAATGATCTCTTGCTTTTCCTCCATTGTCATCCTCACATGTGATTTCTTGGCTTGATCCTTATCACTGGCTTTCTTGGGACCCATTGCGATATATATAATAACACCTTTTATGGTCAAATGGCCAAAAATCCAACAAACCACTGAAAATCCTGGTGAAGAATTCAGGCAGGATAGTCACTGGCCGCGAGGCACTGGTAAACTGAGCGGCTATCGCCGTGCCACCACATGCTAGGTCGGCCTGTACACGTATCAAACCCCTCGCATTCCGAGGTAACGCTCGTATTCCGATTCAAATTTTCCGAGCAAATCCTGCTCGTATTCCGAAAAACTCATAAACGGAAACGCTCGTATTCCGAAAAACTCATAAACGGGGACGCTCGTATTCCGAGGTATCACTGTATATGGAATGCCTTAGGGAAGTGATGTGGTGGAGGCTGACTCCATACAGTTTCAAAAGTAAATATGATAGAGCCCATTAGGCTCATGAATCTGTACACCAGATGATTGACAGTTGAGAGGCGGGACCAAAGTGCCAGAGCTCAACCCCCGCCAGCACAATTTAGTGAGTTCAACTAGGCGAGTACATTATAACTGCATCATGGAGATGGAAAACCCATTTGTGAGACAAATGTGCCTCCAATTCAAGACGTTACAATAAACCAGTATTTAGGAAATGTACTGTATGTGGTATTAAACCTTCAATAGTGCATGTCTAAAAATAGTTAAAAACAAATGGGAAAAAATCACATCTTGCAAATTGACTAATAATAAAGTATAAACAATTAAATATATGGATCATTAAAAAACTTAAAATAACTTTCTGCCCTTTAGTATTTACCACTCACTCACTTGCTCTACAATCATGTATATACCATTCATCTAGAGGTTACAGTACATTCTACTAAGACACAATTATACCACTATTTCATCTATATGAATTTGTTTTTTTATATAACTTATTTACCTCTATTAATATAAATTACTTTACACATGCTACAATAGTCCAACTGCATTGTTTTCCTGGAAGATCCCCCAGCCACACAAATCTTACCTGTTGTAATAAGTGAACCAATTTCGTTGATGATGGTGCCCATGCCCATGCTCTTCCCCATGCCCCCATAAATCATTGGTGAGGTTGCTGGGGCCTATTCGAGAGGTTGGCATAATCATAAACAGCACAAGGAGACTGATTAGACCAACCACTGCCACTAATGTTACAAACCTGGTCTGAAATATGGTTAGAGGTTACAATATAATAAAAACCATTATGGACTCCAAGCATATATATACACACCACCCAACACCTGCACAATCTCGTGACACAGCTTTGAGAACTAAGATCTTTGCATAATATTTGGGTCATGGTGCTGGGGAGAGCTATGCAAGTGGTGTTTCCAATACAGTCCAATTTAGCAGTCTCCGTGGTGTAGTGGTAAGACACTCGCCTGGCGTTCCGCGAGCGCTATGTCATGGGTTCGTATCCTGGCCGGGGAGGATTTACTGGGCGCAATTCCTTAACTGTAGCCTCTGTTTAACGCAACAGTAAAATGTGTACTTGGATGAAAAAAACAATTCTTCGCGGCGGGGATCGTATTCCAGGGACCTGCCCGAAACGCTACGCGTACTAGTGGCTGTACAAGAATGTAACAACTCTTGTATATATCTAAAAAAAAAAAAAAAAATAAAAATAAAAAAAAAAAAAAAAAATACTGTACCATAAAACCAGCATTGAATATAATGAAACGCCATTTTCTGGGTGAATGCTGGAGGCTCCCCGGAGATTATCCAGGCTGATATGCTAATGTCAGACTTTGGCATCAGTCATGTGTATGGAGTTCTATGGGCCTACCGGGGACCACGAGCCAGAACCTGGCCCCCTCAGAGAGGCAAGGGGAGTAATGGCCTATAGAAACCCCCTGTGGTTGGAAGTATTCTATGTCTCCGTCGACCGGGTTAGGCACCCAGAACGTTAAGCGTCCCAAAAATCCCTATTCTGGTGAAAATTGCTACCACAAGCCGAACAAGTGGATAGAACTCCCCTAAACGAAACGAGCAAACGATCAGGAGTCACACGTCGCCGCGCCGCTGTCTGCGCAGCTCCCCCCCTCCCCGGGAAGGGGAAGGGGGGGGAGGCTTCGGCTTCCCGGAGCTAACTACCCACAGAGGAAATAAGAGGGACGTATTCGCGAGGCGGTCACTGCACACTCCCCAACTCAAAGTCAAGGCTGCAACCGCCAACCCAAGGTGACACAGACCCGAATGGGCCCAGGAACGACCACGAGATAACGAGCAGCCAGGCCCCTGTACGACCGCCAAAAGCCCCGTACCCGAATGTCAGCCAGGACATGCCATCAAGACGGCAGCAAGAGCAGCAAATCTACGAATGTCATGGGCACGGGGATAGAATGCAGGCTGGCTAGCCTCAATAACACGGCGGACGACCTGGGAGACCCTCACCCACGAACAGGGAAGAAGGGAACTGGATCAACTCAAAGCGCGTGCCAGATACAGAAGCCATGCCGCACAAACAACAGCGGAGAGCTGCAACCGGACATAAAACACGATGCATCCCCAGCCCAACCAACCAAGCACCAACAAACCAAGGACCCCTCTGGAAAGCAGCAGTCTCATTCTGTGCCAGAAAAGAGGGAGACGGATGCAACTGAACAAACCTATCGCCACGACCGAAGGGGCAGAAACCCCTGCGCCGGGGGAGAGCAGGAAGCTCACTGACCAGACCCCTAGAAGCAAATGCCAACAGGAAGTATGTCTTCAAGAAACAAACCCGAACCGAAGGGGCCACAACAAACCGAGGAGAAGAAGAAAGAGTACGTTGTCCAAAGACCAGGACGGCTCAGGCGGCGCATGAGCAGGCCGAAGGTGAAACAACGCACAAGACAGCTTATGAAACAGTGCAGATGTAACACCAAGACGGAAAGCAAGCTGAAGTGGATCTGCCAGCACTGCACGAAATAAGGCGACAGTATGCGGCAAGATGACAGCCCCGCACCTCCATCAGAAAAGACAAGCCGATGCCAACAAATGCAGCCACCTAAGAATAAAAAAAAACATACTGCCACCAAGAAGAAGTACGCAGGTGGGACACCAACAATGAAGCTACCTGACCACCAACCAAAGGTGAAAGACTCGAGGCAGAACCTAACCAGCGAATTCAACAGCGCAACACGATTCATGCAAGCCTAGAAAGAGGTGGAGCCGCAGGAAGATCTCGGGTGCGACCACCGAGCAGAGCCGGAAACCCAAGCTGGCAAAGAAGGAGATGGAACATCTGCCGAACAGAAAACTCCCTAACGCAAGCGAGCGAGCGAGCTGGGAGATCGGAGACCACGGGTCCGATGCGAGTCCAGAGAAGAGACCGTGAGACCCTGAAAATGCCAACAGGCAGGGCAAGCCAGGAAAACAGGAACCCAAACCTGGCAACAGGAGGGCCAAAAGGCAAATAAAACACACAACAGTGTGTAGGAGAAAATAAGAAAAAGGCCAGAAGAATAGCCCCAGTTCAGCGGCCAGGGACAAGAGTGAAGCAGGAAGATACGGAATGAAGAAGGCATGCAGCAAATCGGGAACGAAAGGGACACTACCAACCCACAGAACTGCAGACCATGTCCCAACAAACCAAACTGAAGAAGGTGCAAAGGTTTGCCACCAGACTAGTAACCGAACTGAGGGATACGAGCAACGAGGTCAGACTAAGAAACACAAGCGCACACGCACCATCCGACACAGATGGAAGGAGCGCCCAAAGGAGCCAAAGAAACGCAAGAAAAACATTCCAGTGGCAGAGTAGTAAACAAATGGAATGCATGAGGAAGGAGGCTGACCCCACACACAGCTGCAAGTGTAGACATGACAGAGCCCAATAGATGTCAGGGAAGCGACAGGGCAGAGGCAGGACAAAAGAGCCAAGCTCAACCCCAGGAAGCACAATCAGGGCCGGAAAACTAGGCGAGGACAGAGAAACCAATGTACATGGAAGGGCCAAGCCAGGCACTCCAAGATGGGAAAGGAATGAGGGACCCCTGATAAGACCAAGAAAAACGCCACAATCAATCCCCAACACGCATCCCCAGGCACAAAAACCTGCAGCAAAATGTCACCCCACAACACCCTGACACACCTTGACACACAACACCCTAACAACCCGGGGCCTCGTAGCCTGGTGGATAGCGCGCAGGACTCGTAATTCTGTGGCGCGGGTTCGATTCCCGCACAAGGCAGGAACAAATGGGCAAAGTTTCTTTCACCCTGAATACCCCTGTTACCTAGCAGTAAATAGGTACCTGGGAGTTAGTTAGCTGTCACGGGCTTCTTCCTGGTGTATGTGTGTGTGTGTGTGTGTAATTACCTAAGTGTAATTACCTAAGTGTAGTTACAGGATGAGAGCTACGCTCGTGGTGTCCCGTCTTCCCAGCACTCTTTGTCATATAACGCTTTGAAACTACTGACGGTCTTGGCCTCCACCACCTTCTCACTTAACTTGTTCCAACCGTCTACCACTCTATTTGCGAAGGTGAATTTTCTTATATTTCTTCGGCATCTGTGTTTAGCTAGTTTAAATATATGACCTCTTGTTCTTGAAGTGCCAGGTCTCAGGGAATCTTCCCTGTCGATTTTATCAATTCCTGTTACTATTTTGTATGTAGTGATCATATCACCTCTTTTTCTTCTAACTTCTAGCTTTGGCATGTTTAATGCTTCTAACCTCTCCTCGTAGCTCTTACCCTTCAGTTCTGGGAGCCACTTAGTAGCATGTCTTTGCACCTTTTCCAGTTTGTTGATGTGCTTCTTAAGATATGGGCACCACACAACAGCTGCATATTCTAGCTTTGGCCTAACAAAAGTCATGAACAATTTCTTTAGTATATCGCCATCCATGTATTTAAATGCAATTCTGAAGTTAGAAAGCATAGCATAGGCTTCTTGCACAATATTCTTTATGTGGTCCTCAGGTGATAGTTTTCTATCTAGAACCACCCCTAGATCTCCTCCTTTATCAGAATTCTTTAAAGATTTCTCACATAACATATAGGTTGTGTGGGGTCTATGTTCTCCTATTCCACATTCCATAACATGACATTTATTAACATTAAATTCCATTTGCCAAGTGGTGCTCTATCTACTTATTTTGTCCAGGTCTTCTTGAAGGGCATGACAATCATCTAAATTTCTTATCCTTCCTTTTATCTTGGCATCATCAGCAAACATGTTCATATAATTCTGTATACCAACTGGTAGATCATTTATGTACACAATAAACATCACTGGTGCAAGAACTGAACCCTGTGGTACTCCACTTGTGACATTTCTCCATTCCGATACATTGCCTCTGATTACTGCCCTCATTTTTCTATCAGTCAGAAAATTTTTCATCCATGATAGAAGCTTACCTGTCACCCCTCCAATATTTTCCAGTTTCCAGAACAACCTCTTATGTGGAACTCTGTCGAAAGCCTTTTTTAGGTCCAGATAGATGCAGTCAACCCAACCATCTCTTTCCTGTAAAATCTCTGTGGCTCGATCATAAAAACTGAGTAAATTCGATACACAGGATCTTCCAGATCGAAAACCATACTGTCTGATATTATATCATTTCTCTCTAGGTGTTCTACCCATTTAGTTTTGATTAGTTTTTCCAATACTTTCATTAATACACTTGTCAATGATACAGGTCTATAATTGAGGGGGTCTTCCCTGCTGCCACTTTTGTAGATTGGAACTATGTTAGCCTGTTTCCACACGTCTGCTACGATTCCTGTACACAGGGATGCCCGAAAGATCAGGTGAAGTGGAATGCTGAGCTCAGATGCACATTCTCTCAGAACCCATGGTGAAACGCCATCTGGCCCACCTGCTTTGTTCTTACCGAGCTCCTTGAGCAGTTTTTCCACTTCGTCTCTAGACACCTCTATGTGCTCTATGTTGTTCTCTGGAATTCTTATTGTATCTGGTTCCCTAAAGATTTCATTTTGTACAAACACACTTTGGAACCTTTCGTTTAGTGTTTCACACATTTCTTTTTTATTTTCCGTGAATCTATTTCCCATTTTCAACCTCTGTATATCATCCTTTACCTGCAATTTGTTGTTTATGAATTTATAGAATAGACCTGGTTCTGTTTTACATTTGTCTGCAATCCCTTTTTCAAAATTTCTTTCTGCCTCTCTCCTCACTGCCGTGTAGTTGTTTCTCGCATCTTTGTATCGCTG